CCTCTGATATTAAAGTACCTCCAAATAAAGAGACCATTTGATATTATTTTTTTGCTATTGTCTTCAAAGAATATAGTGTAGGTTGGATGCAAAATATACACAGTTCAAGCTCTTTTATGTTTTGTTGATATCAGAATTTAGGGCCTGATTTTCAAACTGCTATAATCTATCAGTCCTGCTGATTTGCAAAGGCTGGTGGGGGAGAAACCAGACTGAAAGCTAGCTATGCAACCTATATCAGTCTCCTGAAGCACTGAAAAGATTGGGCCAAAACATTAAGGCAAACACTTTCTATAATTTTACTTCAATAAAATTACAAAGGAGCACAGTAAATATCCAGCTTTTGAGTCACAGAACAAATAGATTCAGTACAGTACTAATAACATTTAGTTTGTTTTCTCCCTGAAACACCACAGTTAGGTGTTAAGACATGCATTTATACCTCAGGTTTCTTTCATTTGGGATCAGGACTTTTTTTTTCCCAATTCACCCTTACAGTACTGCCTTCCCTGTTCTATGGCACAGTATAATATCCCTACAGAAATTGCAACCACTTGCAGTCGATAACAAAGTATAACAAATCTTTAATACGTTGCCACCATATTTAACACAATTTATTAGCTGACAACCAGAAGTAGAGGCAGTATCATGTATTCATCTAGCTTTCTGCTGGTCACCTACACTTTAAAGAATTCATTTTATTTATTATTAGGCTTTGCAGCACTTTGGACGTATTAATTAGCATGTTGAGCTAAATTGAATTACTTAAATTTTTGCTGCCATAAAACTAAATAATGGATTCATTCATCTCTTGTTTTCCCTTTTTCCCCAGATTACTCTGAAGGTTATGTAATTATTGCCAGGGTGTGTGACTTGACACCTCCCAGGATGGGAAGTCTCCCAGGCTTGCATTTGCTAACCTAGATGGAAGCAGTTCATCTGTTCTGCTATGGTGCAAGTCTGCCTGAATGCAGGCACATATTGATCTTAAAGAAAATATAAATCTACAACAGATGCAACGAAATTAACAGAGGTGAGCAGTGATTCAGGGGGAAAAAAACCAGAACTCCAAGACCGTGTGAAGCAACACCAGCAGTGCAAAGAATGTCAAGGAAAGGAGCTTAGCCACAGCTCTTTTTTTATACATTGTTCTAATCGCTTTAGTTCATGGTTTTAATTCACTTACTTTCTCCAAAAATCATTGGTCAGAATAAAGGAAACCTTGACTGCTGTCTGCCAAGCTGACTGGCAGGTATCACTTCTCCAAAGGTAACGGGATGCAGTCTTTCCCATGGGGCAGAGAGCAGGAGTTTTGAGCTGACTCCGTTTTACATGGCATTTCTGTAGCTGTAAAAGCTCCATGTTCCATATTGCTAACCTCTTTCTATTCGAGGATCCAGGAAAGGTGGCTGTGTCAGCTACCCAACCTGAAGTTGAAGACTTTTATGAGTGAGGTGACATTTTAGAGCATAATGACTACACAAAATCCTTATCAAAGACTGTCAGAGAGTTGGAATTACTGGTGGTTATCAGTCAATAATTGTTAGAGCAACTGATGGGTAAGCGGTAACCCTTCACATGCAATTCTTCTGTGGGAATGAAAAAAGCAGCTGGAAGGAACTCATAACAAGAACCTTGCAGAGCTGAAAGAAATCTAATGTATAAACAGATTATTATTTCCTGTGGATATCGATGATAAATGAACTGGATTGTGGTGACATCTGGGAAATAGCACCACACTCTAAGCCAGCTGAAATCCCTGTGGCTCAAGGTAAAAACCTCTGCTGTAACTTGTAAGAACTCAGTACAAAGAAAGCTCTAAGTATCTGGGTCACTAGAAGTACAGAAGTTTAACATTCCTCTTACACACTTTTCATTCAATTAATCTTTCCTTTGGGTTTTCAGTGCAATGAGTCATTGATTATTGAGTGGAGTGCTTTATAGGGTAAATTAATTCATATAAGAGAAACATTAAGATGTGTTAAGTAGCCAGATAAATAAATAAAACGCAAAATGTGTTGGTCAATCCGTTGCAAGTCAGCCCCAGGGGACTCCCATTTCTGTAAATCAGCTACTCAGTGAGCACTACCAATACCTGTGCCCCTCTTTCCTCATTTTCCTCTTTACCTATACCTACAGCTTTCACAAAATATGAAAAATCCCCATAGAAAAAGCAAATATAACCAATAATCTGTTCCTCTGTTGAAAATTAGAATATATAATATTTTAACATATATAATAATATAATAATAATAATATATATAATATTCTAATATATATATTGAGATGATAGCTAATTACATGAGAACATGCAAAAAATAACTTTTCCATTCAACAAAAACCTCTGTTCAGTGCATGGTCACTCAGTTCAGCGTAATAAAGAGCATTTTTAAAAAGAAAACAAAGCAGTAAAAGTAGAATATGTCCATTTATGGTTAAAAAGAGAAAAAGTTGATGTTTGGAGAAGCTGGTGGTACCCATGAAATTAATCGTAAAATTATTCTATGGGCATGGGACAGATCTAAAGATATTACCTGGCTTTTCACAGTGCTCCAAAAAGATTAAACTCTAACGAAAAAGACATTGAAACAAGAAACATGCTCAGTGCAAACAAGGATGGAAAAGGAGCTACCTTCCTCCTTGATACATCTCCCTTTCTTCTTTAGCTTTGTACATATCAGTATGTTTATGTAGAAAGCCATTAACCAAGCAGTCAGCAAAGAGTAAGTTTGCAGCTGGCTTTCAGAATTACACACAGGGGAAAACTACCCTAAAGAAACAATATAATTCCTCATGACATTACCTTGAGACTAGTCGTGCTGTGAACTAGCCTGGATCACAGAAGATTTTGCACCACTAAAAATACTTAGGAGATGCCGGGGTTATAGTTTATGAAGATCCCAAATTCCCTTAGTGTTAAACTGTATAAATCTAGAGTAAATGTTGCCTCATATTTTGACTGTACATGGAGCTACAGCATATGTGTATATCTTGGCTCCTTTGCTGGTTTTTAACATTGAGAAGGGTTCCCATCATTGTGAGGATGTTCACATCCGTCTCATTTTGTCCCTGCAAGACATGACCTTTGCTGTCTACAACTTTGGAAACTGAATTTTAGATGTTTGCCAGCAACATGCCATGAACATCCAAGCAGGGAAAGGTAAAAACCACCTCAGTTTGCAAATATATATTCTTCAATTCATACTGCAGAGAAAGAAGAAAAGAAGATACCTTTATAGAGGAAAATATTCATAGAAATCAGAGTCTAAGCAGAGGGAAATGCTAAATTCAAGAAATAAATTAGCCATAATATGCACTCCGATCTAACCTGGAATGAGCTATTAACTCATTTTACACTGCAAACCTTCAGGGGCAAGAGCCACATCTTCCACAATGGGACTTGCACAGTCAAATTTAAAGCACATTAATGGTATTCACCGAGCAGTGGTACCATAAGATGGCCTTACCAAGCAGTCTGAGCACTGGTAGAATAACTTCTATCCATGTGAGTTCCTTCTTACAGTAATGAACATTTACCAGGCTATGTAGAGGTTGAATTAGAACCCCCTATTTGGAGCACAGTATTTAAACATAGCAAGGAGCCCTTTCCCTCCCTGGAGATCGCTGTTTTCCCAAACAAATGGATGGATTATAATAAGCCATTGTGTATTATTTTCTGTTTGTCAATGACCTAGTTCCCATGCTGTCTGCAATACTGAAATGGGAAACTAAAGCTTGGGGGTTTCTTCAGCTGGAGTAACTCAGCCCTGCTCGCTGTGTCAGTGCACAGCAGGCAGAGAGAATCTCCCAGTGAACACATGAAACTCAGAAAGTTTCATTTCTTGGCTTGAATAAAATGAGAAAGAAAGATACCTTCCCAACATCAAACAAACAGGTGAGTGAGAGCATCTTTACAATCATGAATTCTGAGGTGACTTCAATGACAGAGGTTGGCTTCTTTGACAGCTCACAAAATTAGGGTGCATTTCTGAGAAGAATGCATAGATTTTCCTTCTTGACCTGGGACTGATGAAGTTCAAATGGCTATTGACATAGGGATTTTTTTTCCAGGTTTCTTTGCTTATTACAATTAATATAAGCACGTGGTGAGAATCTTCACAAAAGAGCTGCATTCTGCCTTATTATTATCTTGGCAAAATACTTGTTATTTCCTTAAAATTGTGTGTTGCACACTGATGATCCTTGCAATGCTTTACAGATAGTGCATTTCTACATCACTTAAATCGTACATTATAATTTATAGGTTAGTTATTTTATTTTGGCGTCAATCAAAATCGGAAACTGTATGAAAGAGTTTAGATTAGAAGAAAGAGATTTTTCATGGTAATCTTTAATAAGGGAGTGATGATATTATAAGAGCTATTACACAAATAATAATAATAATATCTAATTATAAGCTTGTTCCTGTTTATTTAAATGTTCCATCTTGTGCTTGTTTGTAAAAAGTTAATAATTACATCGTGGTTAAACTGATGTAAATAGGTGAGTCTGCTCTGGGTAAAACCTGCAACACTGAGCTGCAGCGCTACCTAATCAGCGAAGAGTGGATACTGAGATTTCAGCCTTTTTTCTTGCAGCATACAACACCCTTCTAAAGAGGTATTTGATGTTTTGACCAAGTAAGTCCCATAAAATTGGCAGGGTGGACGACACCCAAGCCCCGCTCTAGCACAGACACGAGGCTGGTTTTGAACCAGTACTGCCTCTGCAGAGGCTTCAGTACTGGTGTTGCTGGGTCAGCACAGACAGCAGTACACACAGCAGCAGAGGAGGAAGGCAGAACATCACTGTAATTTCCTCCTAGGTCTGTCTTGCCCTTACCTGACCAGGCTGGAAGCTTCCAGCGGTCCCCAGAGCATACATATATGATATTGGTGACCCGGCTTGGCACCTACCAGCTCTCCTGCCATCCATGAGCTAAAATACATTCAAAATCTTTTTAGCTAAACTTTTTATTTTTACGACTCCTTTCCTGTGTTTGTCACCGAGATCCCACAACCCACAGGGCAAGAAATGAGCTGCTGTAAAGAATCTCTGTTGTCCCCGTATAAGTTATTCTTGAGGAACCAGCTCTCAAAGCATCAGGAACCCCAAATGTACCAGTGTGCTCTGACCCCACAGGAGCACAGTCATCCTGACTACTCCTCCTGAAAGCCTCCCAGCAGAGGCTGGGACAAAGCACGAGTCATTAACTCCTGGAGACTGCACAAACACGACTACTCTGTTTGCTGCCCATACCACAGTGGTTAAACACTGACACTACTTACTACCTCCCTCATGCACAGCAGACCTCTGGCAGCTGTTGATAAATGTGATTTCAGGATGGGCTGTGTTAGATCACAGGTATTTGTACTTGTAAAGCCATCTCCTGTGGTAGCCCAGCCATCCACGGCCATATGGACCAGTGAGAGCACTGCTGGTTACATGTGTAGGTAGCCCTTTGGTCAGATTTGGCAGCAGCACTACCCTGCAGAACCCCCCCATACACACACACACTGCGTAGAGTCAGCTCCATAAATCACACATTACCATGCATAAATCACACACCACCATGCATCTCCCTCCAGCAATCCAGAGGCTGTCCAGCTAGACCACGGGCACAGATCATTCACCCCTTCGCATTGCGGTGGTGGGCAGCAGGTAGCAATGCATTTTGGCCAGCACAGGATGCTAAATGCTCTCCATGGTAAAAGGACACCCTCAGAGCAATGCAGGGCATCAGCTCAAATCATCTCAAGACCTAAATGGGCCCTGGTCTTTCCACCACCTTAGAGGAAGCGTAGGGGAAGAAGTCCACCTCAACTGACATTGGATTTTCTGCATAGAGAAACCCAGGTGCTTGGAAAGCAAACTTTCTTCTTCCTGAGAAGAAAACACCTCTTGCACACACCTCTTCCAGCACTTTGCCTGCTTAGAACAAATTGCTGCTGTGGTGGTTACTCTCCTGCAGAAACAAGCAGGTTAGCCTATGTGGTTTAGAAATAGCATTTGCCTTCTTCCCCACAGATGGCAAACTCCTTGGTTTCCGCCACCACTAAGCATACAAATAAATCAAGATATGATCTGCTAACATATTCAAAATTCTGTTTGGCCTGAATATTTTTCTTTTTTAGCTTCAAACATCAATTTTGTTTCATAATGAATACATGCTTCGTCTCATAGCATTTCATTTTTCATACATTTAGCAAAATGTTTAACTGGTTCCTTTTTTTTTCCAAAGCAGCTTCATTCCTACCCTAAAAACATGCGAATCAAAGACATACACACTTATATAATGTGAAGAATTCCCTACCCTTGGTTCCATTGCTAAATTATAAAATATTCATAATATCTACATTTTTTCACAAAATGGATTTTATATCCTGACTTTTTTTAATGAAAATCACATTAGGATACAAAATTCTACAGGCCTCTCTGTGCAGCTCTTCCCATTTTTATTTGCCCCCCTCTCTGAAGGAAAACTTCCTAGCACCCATCCATGTGCTCTGCATGCCAGCATCCTGATAGGAAACATCGGTGAGGCACATCCAGCACTCACTTCCTAAGCTAATGCCCTTTGCAATTCTTGTCTGAACAGTTGTTAGCTGAAGACAAGAAGCCTTATTTCTATTCATTCCCTACATAATCCACCTTATGAATTTACACCTCACCTACCCGCACATTCAAGGACCCAGAAACACAAAATATTTCCCACTGTGTTTTAAACCCACATCCTCCTGGATACAAGATAAGAGCCTAATAGCTTTGACACTGCACTGTTTTCATATTCATGCATAAGTTATGGATACAGCAACAGATCAGCTCTTCTTTGTGCTTCTCATTGGCTCTGGTTCGCTGCCTTAAACTGTCTGAGTCAAGGCCACGTTTTAATGCCATAGACTCTCTATTCAAATACCAGTATGACCACATTTTAAAAGCCACCCTGTACCACTTCATTGCCGCAGATGTCCTTTACATCTGGCAAGGCCCGTTTCTCTGCATGTCAACAGTAATTCAGTTTAACAGCTGTCTCTTTTGACAAGCTTAGTGTCAGACTCTAAAATGACAGGGTGACAGTTTTCCTTTTCTTTAACAGAACATAGTGCAAATTAACCATTTGAATGCAGGATCACTGAACGCCTCCCGAATACAGTTTTCAGAGTCAACTGAATAGGATTTGGGAATTGCTGGTATTAACAACCAACGCTAAAACCTGTAGGGTCTGACAAATCAAGGCACTTCTCCTATAATTGAGATTCTTACCTGAAGTCTAAGTGTTCAACAAGCAGAAAACCTTAAATTGGGTTGAAATAAGAGTCGGAGGTAAACACTGGGAATTTGCAAACTGGGATGAGAAGTACTTTTCCTGCATTGTAGACATACAAAGAATTTTCTGTATATTTAGTTAGAGTGTGTGTTACTACAGCAGCTGATGGTACTGTGCGTGTCAAATACCATGTGTATTTCAAACGGCAGGCTGCACACACACGTTTTCCACAAATGCCAGGAGTACAAAAGCACCACAACAGAATTTCTCTAGGGCTAAAACTGGGCCTGAGATAATACTGTGCATTTTAGTGATTGAAACCTTTAGCATGAAAACCAGCTTGTGGACAGCAACAAAGCGCCACCATGATTTCTGAACAACTTGTAAATGCTACAAAGACACTGCTTTAGTCTGGTGCAAGAGCGAGCTTTATGAGTCTGCCTCTATTAGGCTCACATAAAAGTGAATTAAAAAAATATAAACATTACACTGTGCATATTTAAACCAAATACTGAAGTGAGGTGTATGGTGAGCCACTTCATTATGTCAATGTTATATCATGGCTGCCACAATGAGGAGGAAGGATATCGCCCTGGTTTGGTTCTTGTTCTTACTGAAACCAATGTCAAACCTCGAAGCAACTGCAGTGGGACTAGACTCCAGGTCACACAGTTTGTGTTATTTTTAAAGACCTATAAAAGCCTTTCTGTTGTTTGTTCCTGGGTAAACAGTTACATCTAAAGCCCTACAAAAATAAGCTGGGTTTTAAGGATGGTGCAGAGTGTAACATTGAAATGCCTTTAGTAATAGCTTTTGTTCGCTTATTAATATGTTGCCGTAAGCATTTGTATGTGATACTCATTGCTGTAACACCTGAGCATCTCATAATATTTAGAAAGATTCACACTCAAACGCCTATTACTACCTCTAAAAGGTATGCCCATTTATATGAGCAGAAATAGAGACTTCTCATTTCTCAAGTTCATAATATAGCCACGTTCTTCCCCTTTTATTCAGCTTTTTTTAACACAGAATTGGTCATGACCACAGAAGAAGTCATTTATTCTCAACCGCTCTGTAGCCAGGTCTCTCATACCATTAAACTTGTGTGTCCCTGTTCTGCAAGAGCTGGGGCAGAGATGCTGATGGTGCTGACCTCCCTATTGACTCCCTTCTTATACGAACATAACTTGTTCATTTCCATAGCCCACAAATTCATACTTCCATAGCCAGACATGAGCCTCTGCAATTCATATTTTATTAATATATCATGAAGCAAAGTCAGCTGCAAACACATATTTTTAGTGCAACATCAACCCCATGGGAGAGTGCAGGTTGCTGGGTTTCAAGGGCTAGGTTGCTATTAGTATCACACGCAGCTCAGCTACCCAAGACATATATAACTAAAACACTTAACCTCCCCAAAATCTATCATACACCTGAAACACTAATAATTCTATAACTTAAGCTAAACAGAGTACTATTCAGCTATAAATTTTATGGCTACTCTCTCCACCTCTTATGAAGTGTGAAAAGAGGCTTCATATCTGTCAGTCTTTTCTCAGAAATGACTTTCGCTGATTACTTAAACTTTCGTTAAATAAGCTTTCCACAAGCTGTAAAAACAGAACACAGTAGGGAAAAAATTGGCTCTCTTTTAAAAGTGCTGTAAAGTCTCTTTTTGAATGAGTAATTAGAAATGTGTAAACTCTTTTATGGATATGTGAGAAGCACACACAAAAAAATTGACATTCCATGCAAGTATTTCTGTGTGCTATCAAATTTCATTGTATTTCACAGAGACCAAAACTATAGAGACCCAAAATACACATACATTAGTGGACATGGGTTATCTGCCAAGAAGGAATTTACATACAGTACAAGTAAAACATCCTAATTTAAATCTATGACAATGGATACTCACATTCTTAAAGAGAAATCAGAGTTGTTTGTCTTTCCACTCATATTTATACAGATTGCAAAGCTGTTGACAGAGCACGATTTGAGCTGGGCCTTTCCAACTGCTTACTGTTATTTTTATTGCCATTGTCAGATATCTTTTCCGTATTGAGAATTGAGCTTAGATGGTCTTCTGATTTCCCAAACCCATACACAAACACAAAGAGATGCCATGCAATTCCAGGGGTCAGGCAGGGAGCAGGCAGTGAGAAAAATGGATTCCCACTGCTGGTCCTTGCCTCCTTGAAAACTCCCCAAACCTTTAGTTAAACCAACACACTTTCTCACTTTCATTTCTACATACACACACAAGCGGTCCATCCAAACCAGACTCTGCAGATGCTCTGCAACCCCTTGTACCTTCATGACTTCGCGTCCCTCTCCCTCTGCTTAAAACTCACGTTATTTGTGCTGAAAACTTGCTCTGACTTTAAGCCTCATGATCAGCTCCACAGCTGGGGGGGGCACAAGTATCTTTATCTAAAAAGATGCAAAAGAAAACTGTAGACAAAGGGAGATGGGTGCTACCCCTGCGTAATCTCCTACCTCCCCAGGAAAGGGAACAGGGCATCACAGGGGCACTGAAATGGAAAACCTCCCCGCTCCTAACTGGTAGGATGTTTGCTTGAAAAGCTGCTGGATGTCACGCTGTGTACACGTACTGTGCACTATAAATAGTAATGTCTTCTATGCTCCTCTCCATGGAAAAAAACTGCAGGAGGGGAAATAGTCTCAAATCTGTGTAGTTTTCAAGCCAAAGAGAGCCAGCCTCATTCTCTCCTCAGTGGGGAAGCTGTAGGTAGGGGCTATGCCCCTCCAACCTGGCGGAGTCAAAGGAGCTGGACGAAAAAGCAGGTCCCAGCTAATGAATCTGGGGGTGAAGAACTGCTCCCCACCTGCTCTCCAGCCTCCCAGTCCCAGTGGGTCCCACAGCCATTAGCCTCTGCCCTCCATGAGCAAACCCAGCCCCTCTCCAAGGAAGACGACTGCCACTGCGAAGGGTTTATGTGGCATCATTAAGCAGGTGGCACTAAATGCCACAAGGCTCCTTGCTCCCAAAAGCACCTGTGTTCAAGCGGACTGCCAGGCACTGATCCCCCTCCAAATTCCATAGATTTCCAGCATGGAAATGGTGCTGAGAACTCCCAAGAAGAGCAAAGAGCTCCACGGTGTGAGCTCCTTTCTCCCACTAAAGATATTAATGCCGTTATTCCTATTTTCTTTTAGTTCCCAAGAGAGTGATTCAGACCCCACCTGCAAAGTTCAATAATCCTGTTGACAGCAGAGCAACACCACCATTCCTGCTCCCCACGATGCTGCTCCAAGCAAGTTCTCTGGCAAAGCATTCACAGGCGCAATTTGGTGCCAAGTCAGTTATAAAACCAACCACAGCATGAATGTTTTTGGGTAGAAGAACAAAAGTATGAGAAAGGGAAAGGCTTCACACATCTTTAGTGTGGAGAATGTATTTAGTGCTCCAAGAAGCTATTAGATGGGGTGATACAGGCAATTTATTGTTTTGTCAATACCTTTTATTCTGATTTAATAACTTACAAAACCTACAGTCTATTTGTCGCACAGCCTCAACTTTCTTTACACAACCCCACTTAACTTTCAAACACTTTAACTTTCAGGTCAAATCTCTGTCATATTGATAAATGGGTCTATTTAAATTTTTATCAGTGAAGAATTCTCTCTGGTGTCTTTTTCACTATCAGATTTCATGCACAAAATAACAGGATACTTACTGGTTTTTGTTGTCCAGCACACACAACAAAATGAGCCACTATAGAAAGCACAGATGTCTTGGTGAAACGTTTGTAATTTGTCTTCAATGGTATCATTCCTACAAGCATTTCACATAGAGAGAGGTACAATACTTTCAAGAACGATGTGTAAAAACAGAGGGCAGAAAAGCCTACTCTAGGATATATGTGGAAACTGCAGTCTGCCTCTGTTCTAACAAGTAAAAAAGTCAAAGTATTTTACCCTCAAGAGGCATTACTGTGCACAATACAGAGGCCTTGAGTGAAGTTTAATCTTATTTGGCTATCTGACTATTACTTCATTAACCAAACTAAAAAAAAATGCTGCAAAGTCAACAAATTTTTAGATATTATTGTAAATAATCACCTGGTTTTCCTACCAATAATGAGGAAAAATATAATCCTTATAGCCCTAAGCGCGCTATATATGTTTAACCTTTACTTTAAAATAGGATTAAATGCTGAACACTGTGGCTACTGTAAAGATAGTAAAAACAGATATTGCAGGAATATAACAGTGTTTAATGACAAGTTACAGAGTTCTACTGAAAGAAAAGCAAGAGCAAAAAAGGTTAAATAAACAGAAACCATAGTGCCTCCCACCTTTCTTACATTGACTTTTAGTAACTATGAAATTTCTGTTAGACATGATTTGATTTCTCAGATCTGTGCATTAAATATTTACTTCTAACTGTAAACTTATATGAGACCCAAACAGAAACTAATTAGCATTATTAATGATGCAAGAAATGTGATGCTTAGTCCCTTAAGATTTGTAATAAAGAAGAAAATGTTAGAGATTTACTTTCTTTTTCAAAGGCAAGTTAAAACAATAAAACTTATTTAATTAACAGAGACTCTATTTATGAATTAGTTGTTTCTGCCAGCAAGAATGTTTAAAAAAAAAAAAGTCTGAAATGAGGCTGAGACTACAAAGAGTCCATTTTCAGCTTGGGAGTCTCGAGGGAAAAATCAAAGGGTTTCTTTCTTTCAACAGTTTGGGTGAGATGATATTTTGAGATGTTGACAGCTGCCAAACTGCAGAACCAGTGAAGAACTACCAAACTGAAATAATTTTTATCTTTCTGAATTTGTCTCATTATTTAGTTCAAATTCCTTTCACAGATCACAACTGAAATGTCTACATGGTTAAAAGGTTTTTCCCCTCCTTCAATGCTTGCGTCCACTGCTTTGGGCCAAAAATGAACTCTTTCTCTTCTAAAATTAGCCATAAATAATAAAGAACCATTATTACTACCTTTAGTAGTGTTTCTAATACAGCAATGCATTAATTGCCATCCATTTCTTCCTTATGTGCTCAGAGGGGAACCAAATTTCAATGGTTAATCATCTTTATCACACTGAATGTCCTCA